AACAAATATGCATCGTTCGTCTACGAGGTGTTTGATTTTTGATTTTTCCTCCTTCTTGAACTCGTTCTAAAAAATATGGCTGGTACAAAATTTGTAGTTCAGACAACGCTCATTTTAATTAAAAAAAAAAAAATTTGACTCTCCACAATGTACCTAAGCGGAGAATCATGTCTCGACATTTCGGCAATTACTTTTGCATCATAGATTATGTTCAGTATAAACAGTATTACATAGTGTTGAATATTCAATTTAGAACATCTATAAAGAACCTAAATCAATTGATTTTAACATGGAATGTCCTATTAGATAGGCTATTGAACTAAGATTAAAACTATATTCTAAATGTTCTGTATCGTGTAATTTTTATGTTGTAAACAAAATCCTAAATATATTGCCATTTGACTGACAAATTTCAAAAATACCCTAAACAAATGGTATATAATGGTAACATTTTATAACTTTTTAAGCTAAATTAAAGTGCAATGCGCGTGTTTTTTTGATTACTTTCTGAAGTGCATCTTGTGCAGTTTTTTTCGCTCTATTGAATCCATAAGAAACTATTATCGGCCCGAATGTTTTTCGATATTTTTTTTTTCATAACAATATAAAAAAAACAGCACATAATTTTTAAAATGATTATATATATATTTTTTTGTCATATTTCAGAGAATGAATCTTCATAGATATGTGTTAAAATTATTTAAAGCAAATTTAAATATATAGTTTTGTAGAGAAAAACTTGTTCTGTCTTTTGAGATATAATTCAATTTGATTTGATTAACTTTTAGAAAAAAGTACTAATCTCATACTGAGAATAGAAATAACCAAAAAAAAATAATCATTTATTTTAGGACTTTATAGAGACACGTTCAATGTTACTTTCATATCTATTCAAAAATCCTTCCTAGAAGGCTAAAAATTTGGATTTATAGTTTTTTTTATATGCTCTTTCATTTGCAATAATCAAAAACATACGTCAAAATTTTTTGTATGACACGAATTCTCGATCGAGCCATGAATTCTTTCTTAAGGTCTCTCAAAAAAGGCACTTTTCGTCACAATAACCGAAATTAAGATAAATGTAGGGAAAGATAGTCTGTCATCTGATTTCTCATAAGCGACAAAAATTTTTACTCAGCATCTTGATTTTTTTTCCAAAAATTTTTGAAGATTTTCGTCATTTCTTCATTCGAAAAATAAGCTGTTTTTTGAAAAAAAACCGAAAATCTTTTTCGTTTTTTCTCATTTTATAGTTTTCGATCGCATCTCCAAGAATTCTCGAAGGGACTTCATTATAGCTAATAAGATTTTCTTTTGTTTGAAAGAGCGTGTCAAAGTGCAATATCTATAAGAGTCCGCCTCCCCACTACAGCCCCAACATATCCTGAAATCCATTTTTGACGGGGTGGCCTTAGAAACGACGCTTGTTTTGTTATTACAAAAAAAGTTATGAAAATTACCCAAAATCACTAAAGCAATATTTTTTGAAATAAAGAAATACCTACGTTAGATAGTGTCTAGTGAATGTAAAAAAAAAAAAGTTTTAAATCTATAACCATTTATCATTTAAGAGAAACGGGAACGAAACAGTACACTTATTTTTTGTATAAAATTGGTTTTAAGACCGCCCTTCCTCTCCATCCAAAAATAGATTTTTTTTTAAAAAGTTCAATTTTCGAGATAAACATATGGATGTTACCTCTAAGGTGTCTAGTTTTAAAATTCATGAAAGTCACTTCCAATTTCGAAAGGTTTCTTTAGAATAATCAATGAACTTCTAAAGTTCTCTAGCAAAATATGGTACCTAAGACTAAAGAACTTATAGGCCCACTCGTTTTTATCGTCCATAATGACAAACAATGACACGGCGCACTGTTCTACGTCTACTCGATGAGATGGCTGATGGGCTTTTAATTGATATACAATATAACTATGTTTCTTTCTAATATATGAAAATGATTGAACAAAATATTCAAAGAAAAAAAAATATTCGAGCGTTTTTCTCAAAACTGTTTTTTGGCAAAACTGAGAAATTCTGAACAAATTTGTTTTCACTATAGTTCGTTCTATCGAACTGCAGTCTTTTTTATTCGATAGATTGATGAATCCTCTTTCGAATGAGGGAAATGGAATTTGTATTTGGCCGTTAATATTGAAAAAACCAAAGGTTTTGTTGAAAACCTTGGCCAGGGATTTTAGAACTTGAAGATTTCGAGAGTTGCAAAAATTAAAAAAAATGAAAAATAAAAAAAATCCTTTCCCTCATCCGAAGCAGCAAGGAGTTGTCTTTCAAATGAGACACTCCGAGTGCCGTAGCTTGATGTGTATTGAAAAATTCCTTATTCCCATGTGAGCCCTATTTTACTCCTTGATTGTTCGAAATCTTTCGAACAGTAAGGTTTAGAGCCCTGAAAATTTTTTTGTATATGTACAACTATGAACTGAACATTCCTAGAAAGTTTCGTGAAATTCCCACATACTATAATGAAAATCGATTTTGGAGAGGAGACGCGGCCTTAAAAAAATTCTATAACAAAATTCAATTTTGATTTTCTCCTAAATACTAAGAATTTTTCTTCTATCATTCAAGTTTTTATAGATTTTATATTCCTGCGCATTTAATGGATGTGAGACTATAGAAAAATTACATACACATCTTACATTGTTCTTTCCGAAGTCAAAAGAATTTATTTTTAGGCAGACTTAAAGATGACATTTCAAAGTGTATGTATATATATCAATAAAAAAAAAAACAAAAAATGAATAATAGATAGAAAGAACTTACTATTGTATTCATTTTCATCAATTTCTTCAATATCTATATCTTTCATATAAAGAAATAAACCTTTAAGACAAGCACTTAATTTATTAATCCAATGATAATATTCATAAACGAGATGAAATTATTGTTAAAATGATATAAACATAATCGGCTAAAAATTTTTCTAGAATATGATTTAAACAAGATACAATATGATCTTCATCAATTATATATCGAATTGTTTTTAATATAAATATTCATATTGCTGTACTATTTGATAGATTTTTGATAAATATTCAATTGTTTAATTAATAATTCTTGTTTATTTTGATTAAATAATATTAAAATATTATAAATAAAATTTGAATTTAATTCAATAATTTATATTGATAATGTTTTTGAAATATATAATACTAAAATTTATGCAAGAGTATAACATATATTAAAATTTTGATCTGAAACAAAAACAAAAAAAAAATTTTAATAATATGTGAAAAGAAATTATCATCAAATAATTGATAAAGATTATGTTCATAAATTAGAATAGCTATTTATAATGATAAATGACAAATAATACTTAAAGAAATTAAAAATTTATGATGAAAAAGTTGATCAAGATAATTATTTTTAAATTCAAATATTTGTAAATTTTAATGTAATGAATAAGGTATTAAACGAAGTTAATTTTCAAATGTAATAATATTTGTTGAATGATAAAGATAAATATTTTGATAAAATAATTATTTCAATAGATGATTTTAATTGTGAATATTTTTTTTTGAAAAATTTCATTTAATAATTGAGTAAATCATTTAAAATAATCACAAAATAATTGAAGACTATCTGATTGAGTTTGAATTAACAAAAAAAAAGAATAAAAATTTTTTCAATTAATTTTAATCGATTTTCATCATCGGTATTTATCTTAAATAGAAAAGAAGCAATTTCTATTTTCTTATTTAACTAATTTTTTTATATAAAACTAAAGGATCAATTAATGTTTTTTTGTTTTCGTTTCTTACAATGTGCAAAAAAAAAAAGCTTTTGCTAATCTATTTAAAATGACCTCTAATGTTTAGTATATTTTTGAAAATATTTTGTTGCTTTTCATATGGATTATTCAGAGAAGATAACATAGATGAATTCGACTTGTACCGTTGAGTTAAAGTTATAGTAAATGATTTACTATAAAAGAAATTATTTCTTTACAATGAATTAAGAATTTTCATTTTATATCTTCTATTGGTTCCAAACAATCATCCATACATATTCATTATCATTCCACAAATTCAAAATAGTACCAACAAATTAGTCTTGACAAAGAAAAATAATTTTCTATTTGTTTTTATGACTTTGGTCAACAATAATAACCCATGTCGTCACTTTTATACAGATACCGCCGGTAAACCATGGTTCACCGACGATTTTGTAATTTAGTCTGGTTTTATAGAATAATAAGCTAATAATATAATGTTTTCTAAAAATTATATGGCTTTTCAAATACAGAAGTAATGAGAATCACAAATATATGGCGAAAAACACAGAAATGAATGTTTTGATAGATGTCGATGTCAAAATTTATGATTCGTGAAAATTACTACCCAGGTGAAAGAATCCGATTGTACGATCTTATATACGATTCTTACAAGATCATATAAGATCGTAAGTCCGATCTTGTACGATCATACAAGATCGTATGAAAATCGTATATGATCTTGTACGATTACCTCAAAGCCACCATTTCAGATGAAATCGTACTGTACGATTCTTGTACGATCTTAATGCCAGTCCTTGTACGATCTTATAAGATTCATATAAGATCCGTCAGAGCTTCCGACAACGTTATATACCTCATTTTCTTCCCGTCGGGTTCTATACCTTCCTTTCTCAGACAGTGTTTTATCTTAAACACACATAAATGCAACAAATCACAATTATTTATTTACTTAATTTGATACATTTAGCCAATATAATATTGAGGAATTAAAGTTAGAATTATTTCTTCACTTTATTGGAAAGTAAATAAATAATTTTCATTTTAATTTATAACCATCAAATTCAATAAATCCATTAAATCAAATAAGTAATTTTAATTTTAATCCATAATCAATACATTCTCATAAATGCATCAATATAAATAAATAAATAAATAAATAAAATTTCAATTCATAGTCAATAAATCCATTAAATGCATCAACTTAGATAAATAAATAATTATAATTTTATTTCATAATCAATAAATTCGACAAATGCATCAAATTGAAATAAATAAATTTAATTTTAATCTATAACCAATAAAGTGACATAAACGAATCAAATCAAATGAACAAACAATTTTGGTTTTAATTAATAAACAATAAATTCATATAGCTACATCAATTGAAATAAATAAATAATTTTAATTTTAATACATAACCAATAAATCCACTAAATACACCAATTGATATAAATAAATAAGTAAATAAATAATTTGAATCTTAATGTATAAACAATCAATTGACTAAATGATCGGTCGACATAAATAAATAATTTTGATTTTAATTCATAAACCAATAAATCCACTAAATACATCAAATTATGTAAAAAAAATCTTTTATTAAATGAATGTTTATTGTGTCTGGCTTAATCGTTGTTGTTGTCTAAAATAAAAATAAATAACTGATTTAAAGTAAAAAAATGCTTACTTTATTTGAATCTACTGTGGTTATCATCTAAAATAAAAATAATGGATAATTTAAATTAAATCAATACTTGCTTTAATTGTACCAATTGTTCATATGATCTAAAATAAAATAAAAGATAATTCAATTAAAATAAATACTATAAATCAACACTATTATATAAGTTTACCTTCAGTTTGAATTGTAAAACTTTCAAATGTTTTACGGTTATCCCTATTCAAATAATTTGAACTATTGCTGGATGTTAATTCTTCTTCTTGAACAATTGTTTTTGACGTAAAAAATGTACTATTATTTACATCTTGTAAATATTCACCGTGTAAATATGGATCATAATTTGTGACAATGGAACTATCTGTTCCATTTGTATTATTGTACAAAGTACTAATTGAATCATTCCATTTAAATTCATCATTTTCTTCTTCAACTGTGAAATGGTAAGCTGTTGTAGTGAAACTTTCAACAATATTCTTTACTAAATCAGTATGATATTTGTAATTTTTACGTTGTAAATCCAACCTTTTCTTCTTTCTCTGACGGCCTATCTCTATCAAATCATTGATTCTCTTTTGTTGATTCATTTTAATAAAAATTTACTAATCACATCTACACCTGACAAGAAAATCAAAGTAATAAAGACAAGATAGACTTATTTAACAATGATGTGCGCAATTTACTTTCGTACATCATAGAATAGATAAAATAGACTAAAAACACCGACGAGAAGATTCTTCGTCATTTTATAAGAAGACGTCGGTGAATGTGTCGGATATTAGGAAGAGAAAAAATAAGATAAAGTAAGAATCGATTCCTTATTGTTTCTGATGATATACATACAATGTCTTTATCTGTTCTCCTATCTTTTATGTACTTGGAGTGCAAAAATAACTTATTCGACATTACTATCTAAAACAACAATAAATTTGATTGGTCAAACTGATTTAACAAGTGGTGTAACTTTTTACCAGATAGACACTAATATATGGAAGATGTATTTTCAAAACTAAAGGATGCATCATTTAAATTAGAGCGTATTTAATCGCTTAAGAATTTATTTAAATACATGAAACTATCATTATAAAAATTATTTACACAAGACAAACTTATTATTATGATCTTATACGATCGTATAAGATCTGATCATCAGATTTTATAAAAAATCTTACTGTAAGATTCTTACAAAATCTGATGATCAGATCTTATGCGATCGTACAAGGTCTCATACGATCTGATCATCAGATTTTGTAAGAATCTTACAGTAAGATTTTTGTACGATTCGATAAGATCATACAGTGTGAATCTTACGATATCCGATGGTCCGTAAGATCTTATACGATCATCATAAGATTTTTTTCACCTGGGTATATGATGTGATCGATTCGATCGTTATTTTTTTCGTTCTGTATACTAATTTAGAATTAACAAAAAGATTTCATGTAATTTAAATCGGTCTAAAAAGTTGGCGTATTGTAAAATGAATGTAGATTTTAGTGTCGATTATTATTTGTATAGTGCAAAAGATTCAAAATTTGAGTGTATTTTTTTTCTGCAATATTTATGTATAGCTATCGTTAGACAGCTTTCGTCGAGCTTAGCAAGTGTACATGTATTTTATACGTTAAAAAAACTGTTGAATACAAAAATTCAAAAAAAAAAATTATCTTTACAATTTCTTAAAATCGTTTCAATTTTGAAAGCGAGTGAAAATCTGTTACTGATGTTTGATTATCTTACTAATATTCTATTTTTATTTAAAACGAAGCACTGAATAAAAATAATATATGAGTAAAATTATCAAAGATCAATAATAGAGTTTCACTCATTTTCAAAATTAAAATAGTGTTAAGGAATTTTAAAGATAATGTATTTTTTTGAACTTTCGTCCTCAAAAGTTTCTCTTGAAGTGCAAAACACATGCATTTGCGAAGTTCGACAGGCTCTATCTAATTCGAATTATGTATAAATATCGTAGAAAACAAATTGCGCTCAAAGTTCGAATGTTCCACACTTTATGTATTATAGTTCTCATTCGTCGATCGAGTTCTTATCTTAGAATTTGCTTAATTGCTGAAAAATTTCTAATGATTTGCTATAGCAAATAAAATAGTGAAAGGTATGCTTTGTTTTAAGAGACAGTCCACGAGAAAATCGAATATGGTCATACTCTCGAAAAATTTGACCCCTATATTTTATGATTGGAAATGAAAGAGCAAAGTGAGAAACCTATAAATACAAAATTTGAGCTCATTCTGACTTACCAATAAAAAGTTATGAATTACAAACTGAAAGCACCCTCAACAGGTTTGGAAAAAAATTGTTTTTTTTTGGAAAAATTTGGTAAGTCAGTATTTGGTCACTTTTTCCACAGTGAATTCTCACAATCATTTCGAGTAATATACCATATGATAGAGCGAATTTCACTCTACAAAACTGCATATGTCATCTTCTCCTCACTCTCCATTTTGTAGGTACAACAATTGCGAAACTAGATCAACCCTACTGCTTTTTTCGCATTTTTGTCTTGTTCTTTTTTCCATTGCAAGCTATATTTCTATGCTAATTCTAATGATCCCAGAAATTTTTTTATGGTTTTGAATAGAGGAAAGAAAGAGCTATCAAATGAATATTAAATGATTGAAATCAAAGTAGCACACGGTGTCCATCCAAGTCGCAAAAGATATTCGACTACTATCTTGAAAATCATATTTTTCATTATTTTTCTGCACCATTTATGTATATGTTAGCTCTGACTTTTCTTTCAACTAGGAATAGAATTGAGATTTATTTTTCACCATTGAAAAACTCATAAGATAGGTTATTCAAACATTTTGAAAGTCACTTGTATCATATAGATTAGTGCTCCTTTTTTTCGGAATATGTGCAGTACAGTAGATACTTCATATTCAATTCATAGTTTGCTAAAGTAAATGAATTGCGTTTGTCAGACGTTCTCAAATGCTATATAGTTTACTAATTTGCTTTATTTTGTTTTGAATTGCTTTCAACGAATGAACTCTAAAAACTCGAATACTATTTTACATCCATTTGGTCAATAGGAGCCAGTCCATGTAAGCCACGACCGAAGTTGCTAAAACGATGTCGTCAGATTTTGCTCAATTTAAGATATGCTGAAGAGGAAAAAGTTTTATGAATTTTGACGCAAGCCTATTCAAAAAATATTGATCCATCGGTTTTTTATGAGCATTTTACGAAAACGCCTAAAAATGTCCCTATATATAAATTGAGGTCCTAATGCAACGATTTCTCACGAATGGCTCAACCAAATGAGCTGAAATTTTTTTGTTGCGACATATATCAGTGAGTTCTATTCATCATAAAACTTTCGTTTTAAAACATAGAACCATTGGGATTTTATCAAGCACTCAATGTCTGAAAAAAGGTCCCTTTTCGGTAACTTTGGCGCTTCATCACTGTTGATAGGATACTGAGAGATGTATCTCTGCTGAAAATTTCAATTATTCATCCCGTTCCATTTGCTCAGGGGAGCTCCGTAAAAAACGAAATTTTGATAAATGTAGGGGCTTTCAGGATAGACTTTTCCCAAGAAATGGATTCTCTGGGGCACTAATTATTAGAACTTTGAAGTACTCTCTTTGGGCTATAATTTTGTAAAAAAAATAGCGTGCGATCTCCAAGAATGGCCCCAGGACACTCATTGCAAAATACAAAAAAGTGAGCCTTTTCTATGGAAAATCTACCTGAGTGCACTTCAAAATTCTTCCAAGAATTATACTATGTGATATAAATTTTATGTAGTAAAAATTAGCATTTAATTCTCTATTACCCTGTATCAAAATATTGTTTCAAAATGAAAAAAAAAATTTTACAAAAACTCCCCTACCCCGCTCCAGGGAGTCTATGGGCTTTTTTATTTCAAACTGAATTCTAAAATCAAAAAAACCACACCAATTTCTTCCGAATCAAACTTTTCTCGTTTGATACTACGTAGTCTCACTAAAAACCCTTAGTCCCCCCTAGTCCTGCAAAGTCCCCCTTAGTCCCCCCACAAAAAGCTTAGTCCCCGCTTAGTCCCCTGTGCAGGGGACTAAAGCCTATAGTACACAAAGCCACAAGCACACCCTCACCCTCACTCGCGCGCCCACACCCGCACCATGGGTGTGGGTGTGTGTGTGGGTCCCAGACCAACACCCACACCCTCAGTCACTCCCCTCCCCTCACTCCTAGACTCACGTTTCAGTTTGAAATCAAGTATTATTTTTATTTGATAAATTCAGACTGAAATTAAATAGCCCATTGTATGGCTCCAGGCCTCTTCCTGTAACATCTTATTCTGATAGTCCCTGTACACCCCTAGGGGAGTTTTTGTAAAATTTTTCTTTTTCATTTTGAAACAATATTTTGATACAGGGTAATAGAGAATTAAATACTAATTTTTACTACATAAAATTTATATCACATAGTATAATCCTTGGAAGAATTTTGAAGTGCACTCGGGTAGATTTCCCATAGAAAAGGCTAATTTTTTTGTATTTTGCACGGAGTCTGCTCGGTACCCGTTCCCGGCCACCGGGACCGGGACCAAAAAATAGAATTTTACCGGGACCGGGACCGGGACTGGGACCAAAAAATAGAATTTTACTGGGACCGGGACCAGGATCGAAAAACAATTTAGTCCCGGTCATGTTTGCCGTTGATAAGAAACATCGGCGGAAATACAAGTGAGAACTGCTCCAGATCTAAAACCGGCAGATTCCGCAACAACTTCTCTGACTATGGACAAATAACAGAAAAAGTAAGGTTACTTAGACTGGGTGTAGAACAAAAACCAAATTTAACACATTCGACGCGATTCGGTTTTATTAAAGAGTAGCTCTAGAGATTCATTTTCGTCTGCATTCATCTTGCGATAAATGCACTGCTTGGTCTTTTCATCCTATGCTGATCTGTCGTTTTCTCTTTTCCATTTGTAATATCACATGTAGCGAAGTAACCATTCTGTAGTTTGGCGAAACCCCTGTGAGGTCATTTCAGCATGACATGCCATTCGAGAAGTTGAATCAGCAACCCAATTCAAGCGCGAATTCACTAATCGCAAGCTCGAAGAAAAGGAAGGATTTAAGGGCAATGTCCGCAGACGCTGTACTGGCTGCTTTGCGAAAGGAAGGGCACAACAGTCAAGAGAAGCGAGCTATGCGGTAGCAAAGAAAGTAAAAACGTTCTGTTGTGAGTAACAATTTTTTTTGTCTTGATTTTTTTAACAAGACCCATCATGCTATGGAATAACGGACACAAAAAGAGTTCTGAAGGCAGAACAGATAAAGCTTTATGTTCAACCTCCTGTCTAAGAACAAAGAAAAATAAAGTACTTTTCTATACAGTTTCTCGTTAAAATGTAGCGTGGCTCACTGTTAGGCCACATCGTAGCGAATGTGTTAACTGAGCCCAGGACTAAAAAACAGAATTTCACCGGAATCAGCAGCAAAAGGAAAATTTCCACCGGGACCGGGACCGGGACCAAATGAAAATTTTCACCGGGACCCAAACCGGGACCAAAAAAAATTTACCGGGACCGGGACCGGACCGGGACCAAAAATTTAATTTCACCGGGACCGCGACCGGGACCGGGACCAAAAAAAGTTGGTCCCGCACATGTCTAGTCCTGGGCCATTCTTGGAGATCGCACGCTATTTTTTTTTACAAAATTATAGCCCAAAGAGAGTACTTCAAAGTTCTAATAACCAACGCCCCAGACAATCCATATCTTGGGACAAAGCCTATCCTGAAAGTCCCCACATTTATCAAAATTCCGTTTTTTACGGGGCTGCCCTGAGCAAATGGAACGGTATGGATAGCTGAAATTTTCAGGAGAGATACATCTCTCAATGTCCTATTAACAGTAAAAGTTTGAGAGTCATATATTATTCCTATCAAAAGTTATCAAGTGCCAAAGTTACCATCTCAAGTCGTATTTTTGAAAAAAATTTTTTTCGAAAAAATTTCAGCTGTTTTTGAAAAAATTTATTTTTTCTCAAAAAGTCTGTTTCCACATTAAAAAAAAGAATTCTTGAAAAAAAAATGTTTTTTATGACCTTTGAGCCGACCACAAGAATACATACATACATACAAACGCATTTTATTTTTTTCGTATAACCCTCCCTTCAGTCGAGAAAATTAGTGTGTATCGTAAGTCATCTTTCTTCTATTATTTATGGGAGACATTAAAACATACTGTCGTATTTTCCGTAGATTATTCTTTCCCAACTGCTGAAAATTGTCTTGCGTAGCTACTTTTTTTATTGTGTTTGGTATGATAATATGAAATTACTTAAGCAGATGTTCGACATTTATCTTATTAGTAAAATAAGATAGTATGTTTAAAGAGAATAAATGTAGTAGTCGGAATCAGTATGTCAAACTACATGAGAAAAAAGTTTATTCTGCGACTTTGCTTCGAATGAAATGTTGATCGGCAATAATCTACGATGAAAAATATATTTCATGGCTTAGTTTCGCACGCTGATTGCGATAGATTAAATTTATTTCTGATAAAAGTCAACTTTTCGTAATTAAAATCTAGAATTATTGCTTCTTTTTATGTTCTTTTCTATAAAATTTGCCTCTCTCAATAACAAAAAAGCACTTAAATTGTAAACAATTGAAAAAGTATAATCTATGGACCATACACCCGCATCTTCAAGCATATATTTAAAATAGAGTTCTATTTGATCTATCAATGTACTTTATATTTAAATATCTGAAATTTCGAATATAGTAGTAGAAACTACTAATAATTATAATTGAAATAGCATAAAAGAAATTCACAAAAAAAAAATCCAAAAATTATTAATCATTAAAAATTTCATCAATATTTTGAATCGAAATGAAAACTTCGACGATTACAAAACTCATCAATATTTCCAATATATTTATAAATCATTTGCATTCTAAAATATTATTTCATCATTGATGTAATGACGTCTCTCAAACACTCAATCTTAAAGAGAAAAGTCATTAATGGTAATATTAAAGTTTGATTTAGTTTTTTTTTCTTGTTAATAAAAATATAAATATCATATATGATTTGCCCGCTTTTTACAATCTTATTCATCAGAAATAAGAAAAAAAAAATTTCTATTCTCTTCATCGTTCATTTTTACTTAAAGCACAGAACTTTTACTATGTTTGATGATCATCAAAGAATGATTAATTTAATAATAATATTTCAAATATCATTATGTTCACTTAGCAATGCTAATGAATATTATTTTCTTAAATATAATCGTGCTATTGGTGGAGAATCTTTAGATACAGCGAAAGTTGTTCTATATATCGATACAAATGCATCTAGATTTATTGAAATACCTCGAGAATATATGAAAAATTGGATAGACGATCAAAAAATGTGGCGAACAGTAAAAATTTTCTTTTAATAATTCATATCGTTGTATTATTTTGTGGTTTTTTTTTTTAGTGGTCAATTATATTAGCTATAATGTGTTTTATTTTCTTTGGTACTCTATTATTTTTTCTTATTCATGGTTTTATTACTTCAACAGGTCCATTTTCTAATTGTATAAAATCTATGAATGAAAATTCATCACCTATTAAAATGACATCATCAACAACAACAATACCTATAGATTATCCACAAATAGAAAATATTTCTACAGCACAACAAACATTTATTGTTGGTTCTCGTCAAATGTCTACATTATAAAAATACTAAAGAATTACAATAGCAAAATCTTTTCTTTTTCTATAGGATAAATATATTCAAGTTTAAATCAAAGAGAAATTATTATCAATTTAAGAAGACTTCGATATTTTTGAAGTCTATTCTAATTTTATTTTTTTTTTTTTTAATTAATAAATAATTTTAAAATTTTTTTGCTACTTCGGCCATTTTATCAAGAACAATATGAGCATGTTTTTCAGTAAATATTAATGCTGGACGAAAACGTATAGCAACATCACCACATGAACCCATTTGAATACCTTTTGAAAACAAAATAAAATAATAATTCAATGAAATATTTCATTTAAATTAACATACCAGCATTTCTCATATGAGCAATATATTTATCACGAATTGATGAACTTGGCATATCAAATGCACAAAATGTTCCACGACCACGTGCATTAAGAATTAATTGTGAATATTTTTTATTTAAATCTTTTAAACCATTTAATAAAACATCACCTGTTTTTTTTGTATTTTCAATTAAATTTTCTTGTTTAACAGTTTTTAATATAGCATCAAGTACTAATAATTTTGCTGGTTCACCCATCCATGTATTAAATATACGATAAGGCTATTTATAAATAAGAGAATATTATTATTTATTTATTTTTTTGTATAGAAAATTTTAACCTGTTTTGGTTGATATTCAGCTTTAGCAAAATAACCACCGGTTTGAAATTTTTTTGAAAATGTAACTATATCAGGTGATTCAGGTAAATTAAAATGTTCATGTGCCCAAAATTTTCCTGTTGCACCAAGACCTGTTTGTACTTCGTCAATAAGTAATGCTGCATTGTTCTATTAGAAAAAAAAAAGTAAAATGAAGATCTTTTGTTTTTTTGCGTTCATTCAAACCTGTTTTGTTAATTTTTGAAGACGTTGAAAAAATGTTGGACTTCCATGAAAATCACCACCTTCACTTTGAATTGGTTCAACTACAACACCAACTACAGGATTTTGTTTTTTTTGATATTCATGAAATAATTCTTCGATCTATAGAAAAGAGATAAAAAAAAAAGCTTTTAGTTAAAAGGAAAATAGTAATTGATGCATATAGAGATAGAAACACATTTATTCTCTTGTGATGAGACATAAATAGACTAAAGAGTAGTTGACAAGATTTATATTAATTACCATAATTCACTCGTATTTTTATTTTCATTTATTTTTTATGAAAAATTCAAATTGATTCTATTTCTATTTAAAATAATCAAACAATATAAAATGCTTACACGAGCTAAACATCTTTCATCTTCTTTTTGATTTTCTCGTTGATTTTCTTCTAATGGATATTTATATCTTGGAAAAGGTGCCATTGGCCAATCAAAACTTGGAATATCAAGTTTATGAATAGCTTTGGAATGTGTACATGATAATGCACCTAAAGAAATAAAAGAATATATAATTTTTGTTTAATATTTTTTGATTACCAAATGTTCGACCATGAAAAGCTCCTTCGAATGACATTAACGAAACATTTGGACATCCTGGTGGTTTATTATGCATTGATGATGTTAATTCTTCTTCACTAAATGATTTTCCATTACGATTTTTAGTTGCATACCAAATACAAATTGCTTTGAATGCATTTTCATTTGAACATGAACCACACATCATTGGTTGAACATATTCAAGACCTTTAGGTGCAACCTATGAATTAAATTTTTATTTAAAAATAAAAAATAAATATTAAGATTACTGGAAGAAGTGTTTGTTCGATTTGTTTAATAAATTGAGGTGTTGGATGAACTCCAAGTGCTGGTCGATTGACAAGTTGACTCTATGATGAAATAAATTATTTGATCTCTTTTTCTTTTTATAATTTATAAAAAACAAACTAGATTTTTTGAATCTTGAAAAACTTTTTGTATAGCTGGATGATTATAACCTAGAAGGATATTATTTTTTTTTTTGACTTCGTTAGTATGTATCAATGTCATACCTAAAGGAAGAGAAGCAATTTGCTCATAAACATCCAACATAATATTTCCATCAATATCAACTGCATAATTTCCAATAGATTTATCAACATCAAGAACAAATATTGTACTCAATGAGTTCTAAATTTTTTTTTTTATATAAAAATTATTAAGAAAAATGTTCAAATCAATTATTTACTTGAGTTTTTTCTAATTCATGCATAAATTGTTTTGATTTTGGACCCTAGAAATTAGAAAATTAAGATCAATTTTTATCAACGACAAAAATTTTCTTTCATACAGGAATTTCTGTTTTCATTTTTGGACCAGATGGTTCTTGTGAGAGAATACTGTTGCCTAAATTCAATTGACGTGTTTTTTTTTTTCCTTACTATATATTTTTAATAATTAACAAACCTCGACATTGTGAACGAGTGTGAAGCAAGGAACGAAGATGAAAAAGACGTGAAGCTTTCATATCTAAATACAACGCTACAGGAGTAAATGGAAATCCTAATCGCATCAATAAAATAAACGGCATTTATTTTTATTTTAGTGGCCTCTCAAGTAGACTACTACGAACACGAGCAAAAAAGAAAAAAAATACGACATCGCATTAATGGCGCACCCCTGTTTGTCGATTTTTGTTCTATTTATCTAGTCCCTACTCAATTCTTTCTTTTTTTTTTTCTTCGCCACTCTCTTATCTTATCATGCTTTGGTTAGAGAGCAATTTTACTTCTCGAAAACAGATGTATGATATTCTAGAACACAATTTATTCGAATAAATAATTAAGAAAGCAAAACGAAAAAGAAAAAAAAACAATTAATGAAAAAAGAACTTGGCATCATGTAAAGGCAAAGTGTCAAATATCATAATATCATTACTAGCGTCATCTTTTTAGATGAATTTCATTTGCTATTTGACTTAACAAATAAATTAAAAAAAAAAGAAAAAACTTGAAAAACTAAGTTAATTTTCTCAGTTTTGTTTAACAAATAATGGAGCCAAAAAATTTGTAAGTTCTTTATCTTTTAACATATTTAAAAATTCTTGTTTTGATATTTTATCATCATCATTTAAATCTAAACTAGCCATTATTTCATATGTAAAATAAGTAACACTATGTTGTTCTTTATCAATATTATGTAAAACAAAAAGTATATCAACTATTTGTTTTATTTCATTATAATCAATTATTCCATCACCATCACGATCATAAGCATTATAAAGCCATTCAAGTTTTTCACGTGATGTACTTGAATTACTATGTATATAAATAGCAATAAGAAATTCATCAAATTGTATAAAACCATCATTTGTTAAATTATCAAAAGCTCGAAATAGAAATTCTGAATAAATATTCGAAAATTTTGATGAATTTAATTGTTGATAAAAATTAATAAATTCATTTTTTGTTAATTGTCCAGAATGACAACGAGATCGAAATATTTCATAATAATGTAGAATTTGTTCACGAGAAAATTTTGTACGTTTAATTAAATAATCAATTTTATTTGATGTAAGTTCATTTGTTTTTGTCAATGTTGAAAGATCATCTTTCTAAAGATAAATAACAAAAAACATTATTTAAAAAAGAAATAGAAAACTAACTTTAGTATTCCATATTGTATTATTAAACATAGGAGCCAAAAATTCAAGTAAATCTGTACATTGTTTACATAATCGAAGAAATTCATAACAATTTAATTGTCCATCACCATTAATATCAAATTTGGCAAATAATTTTTTTAATTCATCTAATCGATTTTTTGTTAATAAATGTCCATGAATATGATAAACTAAATAACATAAATCTAAAAATTCACGTTGATCTATTTTTCGATCTTGATTAGTATCATAAAGAACAAATATCCATCGAAGTTTTTCATCATTATCTGTTTCTGGTAAACTAATTGCTTTAAAGAAAAGTAATTCTTTAAAATTTAATCGTCCATTTTTATCTATATCAATATGATGAAATAAACGTTCAAGTAATGGTTGTGAACTTCGTAAATGTTTTAATTCATTAGAATATAAATCACAAAATTGTTCAAAATTAATACAACCACTTGGATAATGTGTTAAAAATCGAACATGAAAATCATTAATCTGTTTTCGTGTAAAATTTGTATGAAGAGTTATATAGGATAATTCACGTTCACTTAATTCTGGACGTTCATTACGACCAGGATGAAGATTTCCCATTCTTTTCAGTGTATAGATATGAAGATAAATGCGATGTATGTGTCAGGAATGACTAAAATGTTATCGACATATGCTATTCTTTATTTTTCTTTCTTTCACATCGTAAGAAGGGAAAATATTTGTTTCCGTCGAAGAATGAGAAAAGTAGATAGCATCATAAGTCACATGAGAATTCCGTTTATTGATGAATGAGTCATATGAATCAATATGTTTTCTTTGCATATATATGCCAGCGTCCAATCTCAGATTCGCCTAGGCGAATATCGAGTCCGAGATTGAACGCATCCAATCTCGGATTGACATAATTCTGTTTACTAAAATATCAATTACTCTTTAGACAGACGTTGGATTCGAACTATTTTTTGAAATTATGTTCATACAATGCCGTTTTAAGTATTACAAGCATTTAGAAAGAATCTAAATTTAGACTCAAAAATTTAATAAAAGTTTTTCACAAAAATTGTTGTTCTCTAGAAATTTATTCATAATTCCTAAAATTTTACTTAAATCTATCAAATGACAATTGTGCGAACATAATTCAAAAAAGAAAACAATTCGAATCCAACGTCTATCTAGAGAATAAATGATATTGTAGTGAACAGAATTGTATCAATTCGAGATTGAACACGTTCAAACTCGGATCCGACATTCGTCTAGGCTAATCTGAGATTGGACGTAATCTCATTTTGAATGTTGACATATATTTAGATCAATGTAATGATGTTGCCTTTAAAAACTGTTTCATCAATTTCATCTTATGTTCAAACTTATAATCATGTTCAACCAATAATGTCACGTTGTTTTCGTCTTCTTTTTTCTTTAGCTTGGAACGCTGCTATTATGTAAGT